TTGCAGCTTGGTTTCCAATCTTACGCCGCAATAATGACACATGGAACACCGGATGGATTCGAGAATCGACCGGTAACTCTAGTCGATACGCCACACGTCCCACCCGCTCGATCACTTTGAACGGACCATAGAAACGACTAGCAAGCTTTTGATAAATTCGTTTAAATACGGAGTGTTGCCGATAAGGCTGGAGTCGCAAATACACACAGTCTCCCACTTCAAAGTTTTCCTCGCGGCGATGTTTATCGGCGACCTGTTTCATTCTATTCCTTGCAGCTGCCAAGTTCTCCTTAAGTTCCTTCAACAACTCATCTCTCGAACGAAGTGCATAATCTACCTCTTGCACCACCGCCATCCCTGGTATATATTGGATTAATGGCGGCGGAGGTCTTCCATAAACGGCTTCAAAAGGCGACATCCCAATAGATTGGTGAAATGATGAATTATACCAGAATTCAGCCCATGCTAAGAAGTCTTCCCAAAGTCGTGGTTTAAGACACACGAAGCATCGTAAGTATTGCTCGAGACATCGATTCACCACTTCTGTTTGCCCGTGTCTTCAGCTCCATGCCTTGTAAGCGAAACAATTCCTTCCAAAATTGGCTCAAAAAACCCTTGTCCCTGTCGGAAACAATGGACATTGGCAAGCCGTGTAACTTTACCACCCGACGAATAAATATGTTGGCCACATCTTTAGCCGTGAAAGGGTGAGCCAAGGTTAACAAATGAGCATATTGTGACAATCGATCCACAACGACCAAAATTGTATCTTTTCCACCCGATCTCGGCAAACCCTCGATGAAATCCATGCTAATATCTGACCAAATTAACTCGGGAATGGGTAAAGGTTCCAGTAGCCCAGCTGGTTTACGCAAATCTGCCTTGTTCCGTTGGGACATGTCACACTCTCGAATAAACCTCCTGACATCGCTGCGCAACCCTTGTCAATAAAATATTTGTGAAATCCGCTTAATGGTTTTAAGAACACCCGCGTGGCCTGCTGAGGGAGAACAATGGAACTCCCGCAATAATTTCTCGCGAAAGGGCAACACTTCAGGCACCACTACTCGCCCTTTGAACCACACACATCCATTGCGCCACTCATGCCCCTTGGAACTGAGTGGATCTGCCTTCAATTTTTGTTGCAACTCTTTAAGTTGCGGATCTCCACGAGTTGCTCGAGCGATTTCATTCCAAATATCCCAATTTGGTAGCGTGATTGCCCGCAATTCACCCTCCGTCTGTTGATCAATTTCGGACATGTTGAGGTTCTCGTCGTCTAGTTGTTCACGGCGAGATAGAGCATCGGCTGCCCCGTCCTCTTTTCCGGGCTTGTATACTATCTCGAAATCAAATCCCAAAAGCTTGGCTATCCATTTCTGTTGTTCCGGGGTTGTGATTCTTTGCTCGAGCAAACAACGTAAGCTTTTATGGTCAGTGCATATTTGAAACCGTCGCCCAAGTAAATAAGGTCGCCAGCTCCGGACCGCTTCTAGGATTACTAACATTTCTTTCTCATAAGTCGACCATGCTCGTTTTTTCTCGCTGATTCCCTTGCTAAGGAATGCTATTGGACGTCCATTTTGACTCAAGATTGCGCCAATACCATTCCCCGATGCATCTGTCTCTATAACGAATTTTTCGGCGAAATTCGGTAAAGCCAATACAGGTGTGGTCGTCATTGCAAGTTTCAGCACATCGAAAGCCTTCTCTGCTGCCTCATTCCACATGAATTGCCCTTTTTTTAAGGAGATTAGTCAGCGGTCGCGCTATCGTTCCATAGTTCTGCACGAATTTACGATAATAACCCGTTAACCCCAAAAGTCCACGCAACTCTCTTACTATAGCTGGTTTCGGCCACTCCACCATGGCTTGCACTTTTTGTTGGTCCACACGAACTCCATCTCGAGATATCCAGTGGCCCAGAGCAACACTTACTCGGTTTGACGTAAAATTGTCCCTTCCTTAATATTCCAAAGGTTATATGCAAATGTTTCAAGTGGTCGTCCCAATTGCTACTGTAGATCAATATATCGTCAAAAAAAACGAGTATAAATCGCCGCAAGTATGGTCGAAAGATTTCATTCATGGCGGCTTGGAATGTAGATGGTGCATTACACAATCCGAATGGCATCACCAAATATTCATAGTGCCCATTGGGTGCCCGAAATGCGGTCTTGTGGATATCGTCTGGGTGAACGCGTATTTGATGATATCCAGCCCGAAGATCTAATTTGCTAAAAAAATCCGCACCATGAAGTTCATCCAACATATGGTCAACCGTTGGAATTGGAAATCTGTCTTTGACAGTGACTTCATTTAATTTTCTGTAATCTGTACAAAAACGCCAAGATCCATCCTTCTTTCGTACTAATAAAACTGGCGAAGAGAACGGACTATTACTATGCCGAATCAGCCCCGACTCGAGTAATTCCGCTACCTGCCTCTCTATTTCATTTTTTTTGAAAGTGAACGTATCTATAAGGTGGAACGTTCACCACTTTTGATTCGTCGGTAAGAGGGATACGGTGGTCGAACTCTCTCGGTGGTGGTAATGTTTTTGGTTCCTCCTGTACATCAGCAAATTCCTCCAGAATTTGTTGTATGGCTTTGTTTTCTGCAGGTTTAATTGATTTTGGTTCATATTGGTGAATCGATGTAAGCCCAAATAGTTCTCCACCTTCTTCCCAATCTGCCAAAATTGAATTCACGTCACTCTGCTCAATTTCTTTCCTCGTACGTCCCTTAATGTGGTGTTCTCGATCCCCTTTGTAGAACCACATCGACCTAGCACGATAATCTGTTAGAACAGGCCCGAGGGATTCTAGCCAAGGCAAGCCGAGTACAACATCCAAGCCAATAATCGGAAGAGAAAATATAGTCGTTTCAAACGCATAACCTTGCAGCTCCATAGGTACCTTTACAAACTTCTCACAGCATTCTAACTTCTCCCCATTGGCAACCTTGACAAGAAACGGTCGAATTCGAGTCACCGAAATTCGTAGTTCCTCAGCAAGTCGTGGATTAATGAAATTCAAACTGGACCCACTATCGATCAACATCTCTACCCTTGCCTTCCCTAACAAACCCGCGAGCCGCATCGTAGGGGCCCCGGTTTCTTCTCCCAATGCGTTTAATGAAACCTGGGGTTCGTCTTCAAAGTCCTCTTCTTCATTTTTCTCCATTTCAATCAATAATGCTTGTGCGCGTTTACATCGATGCCCCGGAACATATTTCTCGTCGCAGTTGTAGCATAATTTTTTTCTCTCCGTTGTTGCAACTCATCCCACGATATTCGTCGTGTCTCCCCTGTCAGCGGCGGTCGACTAGAATTACTTGTCGTTGGCGCCCCTCTCACTGTTAGGCGATTACCCGAATTCCATTTTCGTGTTGAATGTAATTGTTCATCCTTTCTCTTGGCCAATTCGATAGCAGTTTGCAAATCCTTTGGTTTAAATAGTCGAACATCACTCGCTATTTCTTCTCGGAGGCCAGCCATAAAGGCTCCCATGAGTGCCTCTTCTCCCCACTCCGGCAAACAATTCATGAGGCGTTCGAATTCTCCTAAGAATTCACAAAATCGTCCTCTTTGACGAAGACGACATATTGACTCATTTGGATCTTCATAGTCTCCGTGTCCAAAACGAAGAAGAAGTCCCTTTTCGAAGTGTTTCCACGAAATTCGGCGAGCTCGATTTGCTCGCTCGAACCACTGCCACCATTGATTGGCATCCCCTTCCAGATTAAATGACGCTAATGTAACCTTTCTTGTACCGTGGATTTCGTTGGCCAAAAAAAATTGTTTTGCCCGACTGAGCCAAACCCTCGGTTCCTCCCCAGCAAACCTTGGAAAATCCATTCGTATTTGATTCCTCCGTCTGTCCCTAAATTCGTGACCCCTCTGTCCCGACGCTCGACTTCTAACTGAGCCGTTGGAAGCGTGACTCCCCTCGCTATCTTCCCCTTCGGTCGACGTGGGCGAACGACTGTTCCGTCTGCCCCAAGGATTACGCAGATTGCGTTGTTCTCGCCCTTTCTCCATTAACTGTTGCATCGATGTCTTTATTTCTTGGATGGAATTCTCCAACAATTCCAATCTTTCTCTGTTAGTCGCCATCGTTCAAGCCGGTATTGATGTTATCGCAACGTGGCTCTGATACCATTTGATACAATCTCATGGTAAAAGAAGCAATATATTGTTGTAGATGAAACTTCAAGTTCTCTTTTTGCCTAAAAAAAACCAACTCCTACAATAGTTCCCATTAATACATTAACTTCTCTACAATAACTACCCATTAATCTAATAATAACTACTAAACAAAATATAAGTAAATAAATAATAATATTTAATTAAACTTCTCTCGTGCATATCATTCTAGCCATCAGTTAAATAGCGTGGATTGGGTTTTGGCTTGCGAGAGCTACGTCGAATCGTATCATTGGAGTAATGAATTGGGAGTCGGACTTTTGAAGTCATATTTTTTATTTTTTAATACATTAAAAAATATTAAATATATAAAAGATCATATTTTTTATTATTTAATAATAATTCGGTAGGGCAGAGCAATACCAAAATAATATCATTGGGTACCATTACCCTAGCCAAAAAACTCGGTAGGGTACGGTAGGGCACTATTATCGGTCGGTAGAACATTTTTGGTAGAAAGTCAGTATGGTAGGGTAGGGCAATGGGTTGGTAGGGCATTTTGGCAAAAAAAACCCACCCCTAGATAAAACCGACCTTTTGATAGCGTTGCTATCACATGTGCCGCTTTATTTGCTTCCGTAAGAAAATTTCTAGGATTTTTGTCGTACAGGGGGTAGGGATAAATTTGAAGTGAATGGACGTATATACCCTCAAAAAACTCACATGCAATGCATGTGCGGACGAAGCGGGCGAGAAATGAATGGAATTGACAAAATTAAGGTACCGTGCAACGATTTAACGAGTTTAGGTAAAATTTTATAAAATATTTTAGTTCAGGGGTAAATGTGCAAAACGCACGATAGTTTGGGGGCAAAGTGCCATTAACCCTAAATGAAATGAAATCCAACACCGAATTCAAATATCAGCAAAACCCGCGATAATTCATCAATTAATCAGAAATGGAGAATCCGGCAAAGCAGCAAGCGAACGGCGATTTGGATCCGTCTCTCAAACTCGCTTTAGCGTTGGCTATTGTTAAAACTAGGCGCCGCCAGAAGCTTCCTTCTTCTTCCGCCGCCACCGCCGCCGCCGCTGCCGCTGCCGCCAATGGCGATTCTCAGGGGATTTCCGGTGACAACTCAAAATCAGATGCTATCAAATGGAAGACAAAGGTGTATATTCTCTATGTGTGTGTATTTGAATGTGGGTGGGTGTGATTTTATCATGTTTTTGCTATCGATTGTGTTCGCGCGCGTATCGATTGATTTAATTTAATTTTTAATTGGAAATATTAGGCCAAACAGAGGAAAGAAGAAATTCTTAGACTTAAGGAAGATCTCAAAATTGCGGAAGGCGAGTTCGCTTCTCACCATTATCTATACTTTTTCGAAATTTCAGATTGGTCCTTGTTGTTTTTGTTGGTAACATTTGCCACATCCATATTTAAATGTTCCTGTTTTTGGACTTTGTATTTTGAATATTTGAAATTCGTATGTAATTTAAGTTTTTGGTTACGGATTGATGATTGTACTTGCGAAATTCACTGATTTTCCTTGCATCAGATGGAGTGTACCACGACGTGTTTCCGCAAAATGTGTCGTGCAAATGCTATTTCTATGACAATCTGGGGCAGCTGAGCCCTAAGAGTGAATATGATCAGCAGAGAATTGGTGACGTGCTTCGCCGTAGATTTCTCAGACAAGGTTTTCGGTTTTCTCTCAGTCTCCGATCGGTTAAATATATTCTATGCCAAACAATGAAATTACTTCTTGTGGGAGCGTTTTTTCTCCTAGGTGTCGTGTTTTTTATTTTGGAATCGTTTTGCAGTGAGATTGAGTGACAGAAAGAGACGAAGACTTGATGGTGCATCAGTGCAATCATATACATCAGGTGAGATTGCACTTTGATATATCTATATCCACATTTTGTATTTTAAATCAACCTAATTATGTCCGAGAACGTCTTGAAGTAAATATGATTTTAGCCTTTTACAGTTCAAATAAACGTGGCAACTGAAATGGGTTCGGTTTTGGATATTTAAGTAAATCGTCATTTCTTACCAATTTTTACGATGGCCTTCACATGGAAAGGTTTATTCTGAGATTTTTAGATTACCTTTTTGTACTTACAGATACTGCTATCGAAAGTGAAATGGAGCAACTGAGAGCTTCAGTAGATTTCCTTGTGGAGCTTTGTGAGACTTCCTCCCCTCGCGAAGTGAGTTATTTTTCTTATCCGCCTTTCGGAATTCTATTAATTTGATATTGATGAAAATTTATTAATTTCTTCTGCATGGTTTTGCAGGTAGAGGAAAGCAAATTCAAAAATTGGTCGCACCAAGCCGTTGACTTTATTCTAGGTACCAAATTTAAGACATGTTTCTGAAACTTGCTACTTTCGATTTGATGGCATGATTTTAACCGAAAATAGGTGTTCCTATGCTTCTGAAAGATTAGTTCGTAAAATGTGCTACCTAAATTTCTATTTGAATGGCCTTGATTGAACTACCAGTTCGTAATTTAAATGTGGGGGTTGGAATAAAATTCCATTGCATCTGTTTCAGCAGGAGTCACCGAAAATCGATGCCAGTATCACAACCATAACAAAAGTCATCTTTTGGGGCATGAAGTGCTACGTAGGAAATGAACCAATATCTGTGAACCTTAAGAAAAGGAAACAGGAGAATTTTAATTTCGGATAAATAATTTTTAAATTGTTTTTTTTCTAGACAAGTCCCGAGTGATTTTGAATGATTATGCTCGGTGTCTTCTTCGAAAGCTGCTTCTTTAGAAATAATCAGTTGAGCATCAAATGTTATTCATTGTATCGTATGTCCGCGTCTTGTGGCCTTGTCCTTCTCTATTTTGGTGGGAAAATTAGAAAATTCTAATTATTTGACTTAAATTATGAACCATACTTTGTGAAGCCACACTGAAGGCTCTGTTGTCGGGTGGAAAGATAGACGAGAAAATTGAAAGCATCGTGAGTAGCTTAATCATGAGGTTGATGCGAAGGATGTGCAATGAATCTCAAGGAGAAGGTAAGCCTTAGGTTATAATTTCGATTCTAAAAGTTCAAGATTTTGTTTTTTGCAGATTCCTTTTTGAAATAATTAGAATAATTCTATTGCTAAGATTCAGTCTTGGAATTGTTATTCACTAAATTCGACCGCGTATCTAAGCAGTAAACGGATTAAAATTGCAGTGGAATTTTAATTTCATATTTGTTTGTCAAGATGTGGACTATTTTTACAACATGGATTTCATATCTCAGTGATAGAGCTCTTCTATCCTTACGTCAACCGAAAAAGGCTTTCGAAATGTAAAATAAAAAAAACTTAATTACATGCGTTAATTAAATCTGAAATCCCGATTATTAAGAAACGCCATGTGAAACTCAGGATTTGTGATTATTTTATGTTTTTTGCATGTTTTAATTAATGGAGAGTTTCAAATCCGCTATATAAACCCAAGTTAAAGCTAATCCCACATGCTTTCCACAACCTTTGTAACATTGAACGAGGCTATGCCCTTGCCGACTTTTGAGTTAAACAAACGTGTTCATGCCTTTAGTTTATCCAATTTTGTCCAATTATTTCTTCACCTTGAATCTTTCGCATTCCTTTCAGAATTGGCTGAGTGCAATACGTTCCAGTTTTATGTTCAGCACTTGATGCGTAAACTCGGAAGCGATCCCTACGTTGGGCAGCGAGTAATCCTTTCAGTTTCTCAGAGAATTTCTATAGTTGCAGAAAGCTTACTCTTCGTGGATCCCTTTGACGGCGCATTTCCCAAAATGCATAACTGCATGTATATTATGTATGTTTTCGACTCGCTGTATCATTAATTACCAGCTTTACGATTTCAAACAAGTTTTAAATGCATATTTAACTGAATTTTTCGTGAGAACCCTTTTTTCCTAAAAACGTGCATGCAGTTTGCATTCAGAATGTATAAGAAAAATCAATAGAGATATACACACTTATTTCGATTTTGTTTTTGAAATATTAATGTTGATGGCAGGATTCAGCTTATCGAGTTTCTGATTTCGGATAACTTACTTTCTTGGTCAACTAGGCAAGATTTCGATACAAGTACGTAGCTTTCCTTTTCTTTTTTCTGATTATCTATCTCCTTGACTCGTGCATTATTCTAACTCATAAAATTAAGTGATCATTTTGTAAGCATAGAAACCTAAATTATTTGTAACCAAGCAAAAAGAGAATATACTTTTAAGATGCTCTTTCTATTGGGTTTGTGATCGTGTAGAGCTTCTAGAAGAATGGGTGCTGTCCGTATTCCATGCTCGAAAAGGCTTGGATCTTTTGGAGAGCAGGAATTCGCTATACATGCTATACATGGATCGTGTAGTCGGGGATTTGACTCGGCATCTTGGTCAAGATTCCTTTATCAAGATGCTACGCCCAGATGCTCTCGATAAATTGTTCGGCTGACGACTCCTCCATTTTCATATTGTGTAAGTCACACATTTCAATTCACCTTTTATGGCATTATGTTTTCATGAATTTATCTGTGCTAACTTTTTATTAGAGAAATTCCTCCAAGAATCCTTTCATTATAATTCAAACACATAAGTACATGCAATTGCTCGCTTAGATGTCGACTTTTCGAAATGTTTTCTTTTTTTGTTAACTATGTTATTACAGAAGGATCTGTATAATTTACTTTAGGGTAAATTACAACCACCCCGGAGGCTTGGTCAAATTACGAAAAACCCTCTCTTGTTTGGATAATTACATTTACCCATCAACTATGAATCTTCTTACACCTCCACCCTTATGGTGTCAAATTCAACATAATCATTTAGATTCCGTCGAATGTGCTCTAGTCGTTTAGTGTAAAAATACAGTTTCTGATGCACCACAATCTAATATATATAAGCCAAAAAAACATATCTTATGATCATCTTGCTTCAAAATATGGAGCTCGAATGGGTTAAAACGGGTACAAAAGTGATAATACTCCATATAATCAAGAAGATTCCTCTAAATTTGAAACCGCAAGGATAGACGTGTAAGTATATTTATAGTTGAGGGGTGGTGGTGGTCGTAATTTACCCTTTACTTTAACCTGAGAACAACTGCCTATCGAAATGCCGCGCTTTTTTATTTAGATTTTCGGGTCAAAAACGTGTGAAAATGAAATGCAAAGTACACAGTAGATATTGACAGCATGGCATTTTAAATATGCTGTTTTGACAAATTAGTCAAATTAGACGAGTTGAATTTCAACAAAATTGAAAATCCTAATCTTTACATATGTGTATATAAGTGTCCCCACGTTATCTCTTTTCTTTGATCATCACAGAACTTTCTTATAGAGCCAGCACTTTCCTTCCTTCCGACAAGTTTCTGATCTACTATATACATACATATATATATATATATAATATATGTATATATATAGTTGGATATCTTGCAGTATAATTATATCTTCATCAAAACTATCAATTTCTGCTCACAGAAAAATGAAGTATACACTCTCTCTATGGCTGATAGCAGTAATCTTGCTTTCGTCCCGATTTTGTTTTCCAACCATGGCTAGAGGAATTATATCCAAGACTTCGAATGAAATTCAAAGTAGCTCCTCTAATTTAGAACATACGTCTTTGATAAAATCGAGGAAGATAGTTGTCCAAATTAAGAGGAGGGGTGGGGGCCGCCCGATAGCCGGTGGCTCTCGTCCAGGATCAACATCTTCGGGTGTTAGCGAAAAGTCGTCTTCGATTCGAGCTTATTTCGTTATCAGCTTTTCCGTTTTATTTGTTCTCTTCTTTATATAGACTTGCAAAAGTTCTTATATATACGAGATTGTTTTTTCTTTTTTTTTATAGGTTTTGTTTGGGTGTTATGGATTTTTGCAAGTTGTGAAATATGGGTCTTGATTCTTGAACATTGTTAGTATTGTCTGTAATAGTTTCTGTTTCTATTTAATATTGAGCTATTGTTTTTTCTCTTACATATTGGACAACTGTGATTGGTATTCCGATGGAAGAAAATGAAGCTACTGTTTATAGAAAGTGAGAGAAGAAAATTAAAATTAAAATTAAAATTATAATTATATATCTTAATTGAGTTTGTATGTGAGTAATATAACATTTTTCAAATTCTTATCATTTTATATAGAGATTTATAAAAAATCATGCATAGTAAGTAGGACTACCGTACGGCGTCCAGAAACAAATTTAGTGCATATCGATCCCATATATAAAATCTTGGCTCGGTTAGTGCTCTCTTTAATTGAGATTCAACCTTAGCTTTTGGCTTCTCTTTATCTCGAGTTTCAGGACATTTTTTGGATACATTATATACTTTTGTGTTCTTTTTTCTTTAATTTCATTGTTCTAATCGATAATATTAATATTTCTAATATGTCCCATCAAGTGCAGGCGAATTATATTTGAAGTCTTGTACTTGAAATATTTAAAATAAATGTAGTGGTGGAGTTCGAATTCAGGACCTTTTAATTGTCCTGACTCTAATGCTCTAATGTCATGTTCAATGACCACCTCAACCAAAAATTAAACTTTTAACTAGGGCTGTGCGTTGGTTGGTTTGGGTAAAAACCAGGCAGAAAACCAACCCAACCCATCCAACCAACTTTAGTAAATATTGGAAACCGTTATCGACCCATTTTACATGGGTTGGGTGATGGTTGAGAACCAATTTGGTGGGTCGGTTGGTGGTTTGGTTGATGGGTCATCCATCTAATTTTTTTTTTTTTTTTTTAATATTTTATTAGTTGTTTCAACGCTATATCTTTTATAAATTAAATGTGACTAGTTCAACAATATTCAAAATAAAATATTCAAAACATTACGGGCATATATATTGCAATTAAACATAAATATTTCAACAAATAATAATCGTCCAAATATTTAGGCTATGTTGTAAAATTAAAATAGTTCAAATTAGATAATTATGTTAGATTTATTGCTTTTAGGATTTTGTCAATATTAGACAATTTAATAAATGTGATATAAAATAGAAATTTGAAATTAAAAATATTAAACATTTTAATTAAAATTAATAAATAATAAATTAATAAATAAAGTTGGTTGGCCGATATTAACCGACTAACCAACTTTTTAACATATTAGAAACCATTATCGACCCAACTATACATGGGTTGGTTGATATTATCGACCCAACTTAAATGGGTCGGTTGATGGTTGATTATCCATCACAAATTATGGGTCGAAAATGGGTTGGTTGGTGGTTAAAACCGATCCATGCACAGCCCTACTTTTAACGAAATATATTATTTAGTATTAATATCTTCAATATTTTGAAACATTCTGTACACTAGCTAGGTTATTACATAATGATCTCTATTACGTTATCACCTAGACAACTTTAAATGATATCCCATTTGGTGTAATTATAATAATCTGCGTAAAAGAAAAAAAATACTTGTTTGTCGAAAAGAGAAATTGTAAAAAAACACAAAGAACGATCGAGTCTTGCCAAAACAATTATCTTAAGATAATATTTTCGGACTGTCGATGGTGCACAGTCTTTTTCCGATAATCTCCCAAGATACAACGATCGGATGTCTGAATCTTGCATGAGAATCAAACTCACATCGAACTTGAACAACGGAAAAGGATTTCGACAAAAAAGAATAATATGAAGAACTATAAAACTCTATTATACGATTAAAATTCAGTGAAGAATTGGCTATATTCTTATCTTATTTATAAGCGGTAGAGTTTGATTCACAAAGGGAGGCAAGGATTGGAGAAGGAGAAGACACATGTCTTTTTGGAACGACGTCTCTCATATGGCGTTTCTTTGGTTCAAAATATTGACTAGGATAATTAGTTATTTTGTTTAAATTAGATTTAATAGTTTTAATTAATTTGGTTGGAACTAAATAATTTTATTAATTAATAAAATATCTAAAGCCAAAACTAAATATTGGAAGTTATACCCAAGCTCAAGCTCGATCAAATTACAGATCGATCCCCTTCCTCTTGACCATCCCCTTCCTCCAAATTCAGATACATATCTTATTCAATTTACTTCATGATTTTGAGAAGTAAATAAATAAAATTAATCTCCACATAATTTAATTAACATTATTCAATATTAATTATTGAAAATAATGAATGTTCCAACAATCCTAACAACTCACCTCGGATAATACTCGGATAACCGATAGGGCATGGAACCAATTATTAAATATTAAAGTCCACATGAGTATAGCTCAACTAGTTTTGGGGTGGTAAGTTGGTGCAAGGTCATACGATCAAATCCTGGAAGCCGCAATGTGGAAATTTCAACTCCAATGAGGGTTGATTTCTTATGGGCACTAGCTTCGTGTCCACCCTAACAGGCCGTTGAGTCACCATGAATTTACATCCCTCCATCAAATACTTGTCGGGCCAAGGGATGAATCCCGGACGAGGGATTTTACCTTTTTGGTGCAAGTATTAAATATTAATTATGACATTTCACAATTTTTTCTATATTGGCTGGTTTGACTTAGGCCTAGTCACTTGGTCAAATTGGACAACTTGAATTCGAACAAAATCTTTATATATTTATTTATATCTCCATACTACTACTACACGTAGGTATACAAGGCTGTCCCCAATAATTATTTTAGTGTATTTTTCACTAAACGCCTCACTGAGATGCTACACTAAATCATTTACACGGAATGGATTTTAACTATTTATTAGATTAAATAACAATTTCTTAAGCACACATACACATTACTATATGTGTGATTATGTGCGGATCAACGGTTAATAATTATTACCCACATGGTCGGGTCTAAGAGATTTTTTATGGGGACGCTAAAAATTGGATGTAAATTAAGAGAAGGAAAAAAATATTTTTCATGGGCTAAAATGTACAAAATTTAAATCTTTGGAGAACAAAGTCTATAAATGAATAGATAAATATCAAAAAAAAAAAAAAAAAAAAAAGAAAAAAGAAAAAATAACAGAAAATTAGTAAGAAAAAAAAAATTTTGTAGGGGCAGGAGCCCCCCAAACCTACACATAGATCCGCACCTGATTACCAGTATATTTCAGCGAATGTAACATCAAATAAAACTTCAATAAACAAACTATATTTTTTTTTCTGATAAGTCAATAAACAAACTATTATATTCATTCAAATCTCTACTGCTGTCATTACAACTATAATAGAGCCAGCTCATCATACAATATATATATTGTATATAAATATTTGGACATCATACAACATTGTTGTATCTTCTTCACAACCCTCACTTTCTTCTCTTCATCGATCAACTCCTCTCTAGAAATGAAGCATCTACTCTTTATGTGGCTAACTATAGCACTAATCTTGTTATTATCATCTCAATTTTCTTTTTCAACCACGGCTTATGATAATTTGGAACGGGGAAAAAGTAGTACGCACTTAGCAATCGAGCATACATCTAAACCAGTGAAACTATCAAGGGAGGTAATAGTTGTTCAAATTAAAAGGCGGATTCGTAGCTCGCGTGCAAATACGACATCATCATCATCACCGTCGGCAGTCCACGAAAAGTCGTCTTTATTGGTTCAAGCTTGTTTTGGAATCAACTTCTCCGTTTTCTTTGCTTTCTTCTTTCT